TACCCATTTGACATGATTTGCACCGTCAACTCATCCACCTTGTTTCGAATGCTCCGAGCATTCAGATAAAGTGCCCTTATGCCAGTTTTTGCACCTTCTTTTTGGGTCCTATTACCTCCATTACTGACAGCTCTTGAGTTCTCCTTCCCTTTAACTTTTTTCCTAATTTTCAATGGAGTTGAAGCTTCCTTGTCACCTGCTAACCTGCTGCTTTGCTTTACATTACTTGTTATTCTCCCTCTACGCTCACTTCTCCCTTCCCCCCTACTTACTAGTTTAAAGTCCTATTGACCACCCTATTTACCCTTTTCGCCAGAACACTGGACCCTGCCCTGTTCAGGTGGAGTCCATCCCAGTGATATAGATCCCTCCTGTCCCAGAACTGATGCCAGCGCCCCATGAAAAGGAAACCCTCTTTCCCACACCACTCTTTTAGCCACGCATTTACTTCCCTGATCCTCGCCTCCCTGTGCCAATTTGCACGTGGCTCGGGCAGCAATCCAGGGATTATGACCCTTGAAGACCTGTTTTTTAATTTTGTTCCTAGCTTTTCATAATCCCGAAATAGGTCTTTTTTCCTAGTCCTGCCTATGTTGTTGGTACCTACGTGGACCACAACAACCGGATCCTCCCCCTCCTTCTCTAGTATCCTCTCAAGCCGATCAGAGATGTCTCGCACCCTGGCACCAGGCAGGCAACACACCATGCGGGATTCTCTATCCTGCTCGCAAAGGATACTGTCTATCCCCCTGATGATGGAATCCCCTACAACTACAATCTGTCTTTTTGCTCCCCCCTCTTGAATGGCCTCCTGGACCATGGTGCCTTGGTCAGTTGACTCATCCTTCCTGCAGCCCTGTTCCTCATCCGTGCAGGGAGCAAGTGCTTCATACCTGTTGGACAATGTCAAGGGCTGCGGCTCCTGTGTTCCTGTCTGCAGGGTTCCTTTACCTGCCTCACTCGTAGTCCTACACTGCTGTCCCTGCCCGCCGATCGAATTAACATTAGTTAATCTACCAGAACCGCCTGTCTGTGCCTCTTACTATTGAACCCCCCACTACAATTGCTCTCCTATTCTCCCCCTTCCCTTCTGTGCCACAGGTTCAGGCTCAGTGCCAGCGACCTGTCCGCTATGGCCTTCCCCTGGTAGGTCGTCTCCCCCCAGCAGTATCCAAAATGGTATACTTATTATTGAGGGGAACGGCCACAAGGGATCCCTACACTGTCTGCCTATTCCCTTTCCCCTTCCTGACAGTCACCCAGCTATTTTTTTCCTGTACCTTGGGTGTGACCACCTCCCTGTAACTCCTCTCTATCATCCCCTCAGCCTCCCGAATGATCCGGAGTTCATCCAGCTCCAGCTGCAGTTCCCTAACATGGTTTTTGAGGAGCTGGAGTTGGGTGTACTTCTCGCAGGTGAAGTCAGAGGGGACACCAGCAGTGACCCTTACCTCCCACATCCTGCAAGAGGAGCATGCAACTGCCCTAAAGCCTTACCTTACTGAACCTCTACACAGTCTTTTTTGGTTAGAGGAGGAGGACGGGTGGGAGACACTACACGTGTAGTGTTTCGGGTTTAGCCAATGCCCGAATTTATCTGTTTCTTCCTGGCTCGGGTTCCCTCCACACACGCGCTGCTGAAAACAAGAGGGAAGCTTAAAAAGCTTAAAAGGATTGGGCCTCTTCTCATTGAAATTCAGAAGAATGAGAGGTGATCTTGTTGAAACATATAGGATTGTTAAGGGGCTTGACAGAGTAAACGTTGAGAGGATATTTCCCCTCATGAGAGTCTAGAACCAGAGGCAAAGTCTCACGATAAAGGAATGCCGGTTTAAGACTGAGATGAGGAGGAATTTTTCATCTTAGAGTGTTGAGAATCTTTGGAACTCCTTACCACAGACAGCTATGGGGATAGTGTTCTTGTGTATATTTAAGGCTGAGCTAGATAAATTGTTGATCAGTAGGGTAATCAAGTGTTATGGGGAAATTTGACGTGAGGACTATTGGATCAGCCAAGGGATTGAATGGTCAACTCATGGTCTTAACTCAATGTTGAGTCTGGAATACTGTAAGATGATGAGGTTCTGTCCCTCCAACTTAGGTTGAGCTTCATTGAAGCCATGTTGGTGTCCAAGGTTAGCAAAATCGGACTGGAAATGGAGTGGAAACTTAAAATGAAAGGTGCCCTCTGGGACTATGTTGAAAATTTCATGTGGACATTCTTCCCCACTTGGTATCAGAGAAAAACATAAATAAGGATTGGTGACAGTGAATCCACCCAAGGTATATCAGACGTTCACAACATGTATTGGGCAGGAGGAAATCCTTGATAAATTAGAAGGAAGGAGAGAAGAAACATACGCAGAGTGTACTGAGACAATAAACAAATGCACCATAGCTTCTAGGCTATGGAAAGGAGCTTATGACTGATGTGAAATGGAACAAAGAAAGAACTGTACACAAATGACTAGATGATAGAGACGTCTTTGAGTCTTTGCACAGATTTAGTGCAAATTACCTGTTAACTTGAGGAGCTTAAATTTACATGCTGGTAGAATTTAGTAGGTGATTACAACATAAAACGGTGACAGTGTTTTCTATATAGCTCTTGAGTTTCCATGTGAATGTTATTAATTGTTCAGCTTAAAGCAATACACTGAGATCTTGAACCCTTTAAAACAAGAGGGCACAATTTATTGAGGAAGTGTGAAAGCCAAGGGATTTCATGTGCCTTTGATGTCAAAAGAGGCACTCTTAGATTAATGATGTATGTTTTGGCAACAATTCTTGTGTAAACTCCGTTCTGATCAGAAACAACAAGCTTCCAAAACTTGGCAAAGCATATAGCGATGTGTAGACAATTGTTAATATTTTCTAAGCTCTCATTCACACTGGAAAGTCAGAAGTCATTAACTATAGTTAAGTTTTATAGTAAAGCCCTGGTTATGGTTATGGCAGAGAGTACAGACTAAACAGGCCTGTCCCTTTAAGACAGTTACATGACAAGACAACATGTGGTGTTCTGGTATAAAAGTACCAATCTCGTGTTCAATTATTCTGTCCGTGTAATTGAATCAGCGGAGACACCGAGTACATAGAATCCTTACAGTGTGGAAGCAAGCCATTCAGCCCACACAAACCCTCCAAAGAGCATGCCACTAAGACCCAGCTCCTTACCCTATCCCTGTAACCCTGCATTTATTATGGTCAATCCACCTAACCTGCACATCTTTGGACTGTGGCAGGAAATCTGCACAAATATGGAGAGAATGTGCAAATTCCATACAGACAGATACCTGAGGCTGGAATCAAACCCAGGTCCCTGGCACAGTGAGGCAGCAGTGCTAACCACTGAACCACCATGCCCTTAATAGGTTGGATTCTTAAAGCACAGTAATGTCAGTAAGCACAGAATGCAGGCTGTCTGCAACTCTGTGATTTTATAATAAATAAAAACCAGAAGAACTTCGGTTGCTGTAAATCAGAAATAAAAAACAGATATTTCTGGAAAAGCTCAGCAGGTCTGGCAGCACTGTGGAGAGAAATCAGAGTTCACGTTTCGGGTCCAATGACCCTACCTCAGACCCGAAACATTAAGTTTGTGATTTTATAGCCTTATAAATAGATGGGGAGGCTAAACTGTTCTCTAAACTGTTAATCCAGAAACCTAAGTAATGTTCTGGGGACCTGAGTTCGAATCCTGCCATGGCAGAAGGTGGAATTTGAATTGAATAAAGGTTTTTTTTAATTCATTTACGGGATGAGGGCATCGCTGGCTAGGCAGCATTAATCGCCCATCCCTAATTTCCCAGAGGGCAGTTAAAAGTCAACCACATTGCTGTTGGTCTGGAGTCACATGTAGGCCAGACCAAGTAAGGATGGCAGTTTCTTTCCCTAAAGGACATTAGTGAACCAGGTGGTTTTTTTCCTGACAATTGACAATGGATTCATGGTCACCATTAGACTCTTAATTCCAAATATTTATTGAATTCAAATCCCACCATGGCAGACTGTGGGATTTGAACCCAGGTCCCCAGAATATTATCTGGGTCTCGGCATTAACATCCCAGCAATAATACCACTAGGTCAACGCCTGCCCTTGGTCAGGAATTAAGAGTCTAATGATGTCCATGAATCCATCACTGATTGTTCGGAAAAGCCATCTGGTTCATTATGTCCTTTAAAGAAGGGAACTGCCAACTTTATCTGGTCTGGCCTATATGTTGACTCTTAACTGTTCTCTAGGGAATGGGCAATAAGTGCTGACCTAACCAGTGACACCCATGTCCCGAGAATGAATTAAAGAAAATAAAAGATCGTTCTGCAAATAAACTTCAAGATATCTGACTCAAGAACCTGACTGTCTGCTGGAGATGTTATGTGAGCTAACAAACGTAAACCCACAAAAGTCATCATGGTGGCAAGAGGACACTAAAAGTTAGCGATGTACATAAATTAGTGACAAAGTAAGTGGATTCTCAAAAGGTGACAGCTAAAGTTACATCTACAGCTGGGAGTAAAGTGCCACAACCAAAACTGAAAGCTATAAACTTGTACAGTGTGTACACTACCTTGCACTCTCTTTTATAAAGAAACATGATAGGCTGCTGTTGACCAACTTTTCAAAATAGTGGATGTTCTGAAAGGTCTTGAAAGGATTGTTCCAAAGTATAAAAATATAGGTAAAAACATTGAAAAAATTGCTTTCTGTACTAAAGATGTCTTACTTGTGTCCAATTCCACCTTTATCTCTCTCCAACAGGGTGTGAAAATTTAAAAGAAATGTTTGCTTAATGTCATCACTCCTTTTTTCAGCATGAACACCACCTATAACCCCACAATTTGTAAGGTTACACGAAGAAGGATGATAAGCCAACAGATACTTTTACAGCTGTAACAAAAGTAATAAAAAACAATTGGTACCTTTAAAGCTATAGAAACAAATAAACGAGAAGCAAAGCACTTTTCAAGCCAACAAAAAGAAATAAAGACTAAAAAAAACCACTACAATACAGATTTTTATTTTGACAGTTAAAGAGGACAAAGAAAGATCAAAAGTAAACATCTGAGCATGGATTGGCACATATTTGACATTCTGTCAGAACATCAGTTATTTAAAGGAAGAATCAATCTTTGCTTCAAGACGAATACAATCCTCTGGCGTTTCTGACAATGATTGCAATGATCCTGATAAAATTCTTCAGAATTTAAACAATCAACACAACATTGGAGTCAATTTATGGAACACAGACATGGGTTCATGGCATATGACCATTATTCAGGTGAAATAATTGATCGATTCTTAGGCAGGTGTTGATGCAAATATGTGGACTATGATTTCACAGAAGCTAACTTAGCTGAAAGTCTTGTCGAACTGGTGATTGCCGGTACACTCATCGTATCCTTCCAGAAAAATCTTCTGGGCTAACCTGAAGAATATACCATTCATGCTGTGGTGGAAGAAAGACACAAGTTCAAAGCAATTAGCAGGCAGCATCTGGAAGTGTTTGACTCTGGAAAAACTTTCGCAGCTGTCAACAGGTTTAATGGAACCATGCATCAGAAAGGGCTGTCTAAGGAACCTTGGAAAATTTCTACAAAGCATCTTATAGACAGTGCCCACAGCTGTTGATTGTTGGTGGTGGAGGGAATGGATGTTTGTGGATGTGGTGTCAATCAAGTGGACTGCTTTATGATGTCAAGACTATCAAGTATTGTTGAGGCTGTACTTATCCAGGTAGGTGGGGATTATTCCCTCACATTGCTGACTTGTGCCTTATAGATGGTGAACAGTCGGGCAGTCAGGTGGTGAGTTACTCACAGGATTCCTAATCTCTGACCTTCTCCTATTGGTTCTGTATTCAAATGGCTAGTCCAGTTCAGTTTCTGGTCAATAGTGACCCCCAGGGTAGTGGCTGATTCAGTAAGGGTAATACCGTTGAATGTCAAGGGGAATTGGTTAGATTCTCTCTCGTTGGAGATGGTCATTGACTGGCATTTGTGTGGGACAAATGTCACTTGCCAATTTTCAGCCCAAGCCTGAATATTACTCAGATCGTGCTGCATTTGGGCATGGACTGTTTCAGTATCTGAGGAGTTGTGAATGGTCCTAAATGGTAAATGGTGCAATCATTTGTCATTGATGTAGCAGCTGAAAATGATTAGGCCTAGGGCAGTAACCTGAGGAACTCCTGCAGAAATGTCCTGGAGTTAAGTTGGCTGATTACCAATGGCCCAAATCATCTTCCTTTGTGCTATGTATGACTCCAATCAATGGAGACTTATTACCTTGATTTCTACTGATTCCAGTTTTGCTAGTGCTCCTTAATGCCACAATTTGGTCAAATGCAGCCTTTGTGACATTCTCACCTCACCTCTGGAATGCCGCTCTTTTGTCCATGTTTGAACCAAGGCTGTAATGAGGTCAACAGCTGAGTGGCCCTAGCGGAACCCAAACTGGGCATCACTGAGCAGGTTATTGCTGAGCAGGTGCTGCTTGATAGCACTGTTGGTGACACCTTCCATCGCTTTACTGATGGTTGAAAGTAGGCTGATGGAGTGGTAACTGGCTGGGATAGAGTTGTCCTACTTCTTATGTACAGGACATACCTGGGTAATTTTCCACATTGTCTGGTAAATGCCAGAGTTGCAGTTTTACAGAAACAGTTTGCTGAGGGATGTGACAAGTTCTAGAGCACAAGTCTTCAGTACTATTGCCAGAATGTTGTCACAGCCCATAGCCTTTATCTTATTCAATGCCTTGAAAGAATCAAATTGGCTGAAGAGTGGTATCTGTGATGGTTGGAACCTCTGGAAGAGGCTGAAATTGATCATCCACTCAGCACTTCTGACTGTAGAATGTTGCAGATGCTTCAGTCTTGTCTTTTGCACTGATGTGCCATGCCCTTCCATTATTGAGGATAGGGATATTTGTAGATCCTCCACCTCCAGTGAATTTCTGATCATCCACCACCATTCATGACTGGATGTGGCAGGACTGCAGAGCCTAGATCTGATCCGTTGGTTGTGGCATTGCTTAGCTCTGTCTATCACTTGTTGTTTATTCTGTTTAGCATGCAGACAGTCCTGTTTTCTGCTCCACTAGGTTGACACCTCATTTTTAGGAATGCTGGTACTACATTTGGCATGCCTTCCTGCACTGTTCCTTAATTGCCTGAACACAAACAAATTAAAAATGACCAAAGTAAATTAAGAATTAATCATTAGCAAACCACTAAGAAATGAAATTCCTCAGTTTATCTTTGAAATTGAACATTGAAGAACCAAAGAAAACAATCTAAAAGAAAGAAAACTACATAAATAATTGCTTTGGATAGCAATTTCTCTTTTCCATCCTAGTTAGTTTATGCAGTTTAAAGATTTAATGGCATAACCAATCCATAAAATAATACATTTCTGTATCAAATCTCACTACAGGTCACTATAAAACAGAGCCATTAATATTTGAAAGGTCTGCAAGAAATCATTTTCATATCAGCCTTCCTTACTGTCTGGGGACTGGTGTTTGAGTTAAACATTTCAGCAGGACATTTTTTTTCTACGCTGACAATGCCCAGCTGCTGAGTATATGGATATTGCAGGAAATAGATGATGGAAACTGTAGTTTTCAGCCTTCTCCTGCGAATGCAGAAAAATGTCCTCTAACGTCTTATAAGACCATAAGATGTAGGTGCAATTTGAAATCATTAAAAACTGAGAATTAAAAGTTAGTCTAATGGCTATTGTGAAACCGTTGTGGATTGTCATAAAAAGAAGTCTAGTTCACTATTGGTCTTCAAGGAAGGAAATCTGTCAGCCTTACCTGGTGTGACCTACAAGTGACTCCAGACCAACAGCAATATGCTAGCTTCTGAACTGCCTGCTAGAACAACTGGGGATGGGCAATAAATGCTGGCCTGGCAGGTGAATCCTATATCCTGGGAATGAAAATAAAGAAAAAGACAGGGTGACCAAAACTGTCCACAGTAATTCATCTGTGGTTTGATCATGTCTGATATGGTTTTAGCAAAACCTTGTGCTTTGTATCATTCTTCCCTTTGAAATAAAATCCAATGATTCAGTTGCCTTCTCTCATGACGGTCTCCCTTCTGTAGTTTTCTGCAGTTTGTCTCCATTTAAATCGTATTCATCTCATTTATTCTTCCTGCCAAACCTGAATGGATCAATGGTAACCCTGAATGTTGATAGTGGGGATTCAGTGATGGTGATGATCACCTTCCTCTCCTTTGCAGCTTCATGACAAGATGAAGCCACATTAAGATGTTTCATATATAAAGCCAATGTTTTCCTCCCCTCAGCACTCTCTGCAAAAGTTCCTTAACTGCTCAACAAGGAGAAGAATGCTATAAGAAACACTTCACTGCAACTCTTTGGACAAGGCAATCAGGTAGAAAAGACTAAGGGTTAGCAAAGATCTGTAGCTCGGGTTGTGGGTGAGGTTGTTGACTTGCTCGCCGAGCTGTCTTGTTCTCATGCAGATGTTTCGTCACCACGCTAGGTGCCATCATCAGTGAGGCCTCCGATGAAGTGATGTTATTCTACTCCGCTTGGAATTTACACTGTCTGGTCCGTTATGGTGAATACTGTCATTTCCAGTTTTCATAGAATGACAAAATCCCTACAATGTGGAAACAGGCCATTTGGCCCAACAGATCCACAGTGCCCCTCTGAAGAGCATCCCACCCAGTCCCTTCTGTACAGGTTTGTATAAGGGGTCCAATTCTATGTGTTTGTTGATTGCATTATGAGTGGAGAACCATGCCTCTAGCAATTCCTGTCCGTGTCTATGTTTGACTTGGGCTACTATGGTTACCTTGTCCCAGTTAAACTGATTTCCTTCATTGTCTGAGTGTACCGATATTAAGGAGAGTTCGTTGTTCTGTTTTGCTGCTAGCTGATGTTTGTGTATTCTGATGGATAGTTTCCTTCCTGTCTGTCCGATGTAGTGTTTGTGGCAGTCGTTGCATGGTATTTTGTAAACCACGTTGGTTCTGCATGTTGTGGGAATGGGGTCTTTAATCCTCATGAGTATTTGTTGTAGAGTGGCTGTGGGCTACCATGATTCCTAGTGGTCTTAGGAGTCTTGTTGTCAGTCTTGTACATCTTGAAGTAATGGCTCCTGTGATCACATTCTGTACGATTATGGGAGTTATATTTTTTCATCCCGTTCCTGGAGTTATTCACGTAATGTCTTCACTGTCAGATCAAGGCACTTTGCAGCCAATAAATCACCTGAAACATACATTCAATATGTATGCCACAGGTTCCACAAAGAGCAATATAGTATTGATCAGGTAAGCGGGGGCTGAGAAAGACACATTTTCATTTCTTGGGGGTAATGCCACCGTGGACCATCACCTGCACAGCCCATCCAGATTTCTTTGTTCATGCTAAATGACAAGTTTCACACCAATTGTTGATTTTAATGAAGCAAAGTACTGAGAATGCTGGTAATCTGGAATAAAAACAAAAAATGTTGGTGAAACTCGGTAGATCTGGTAGCATCTGGCAAGATGTGACTCTTCTTCAGGTCTGAAAGGAGCTGGAAAGTTATGGTTTTTATGCTGTTAGTGGTCTAAACTCCGTTCAAATTTCGGGGAGTCAGAGGTGACTTAATTGAAACATCGAAGCTCCTGAGGAGACTTGACCAGGTAGATGTGAAAAGGATACTTCTTCTTGTGCTTCACCTGAAAGGTGTGTTTAGGGCCTTGGACAATGAAGAGGGAGAAGTTGAATGGGTAAGTATGACACGGTGATAGTGCCACACAACACAATAGAGGATATTCTCAATGTGAAGAAGGCACTTTGTCTCCATAAAACTGTACAGCGTTCACTCTTACCGACACTGTTATGGATAGATATATCTGTGGTAAACAGGTTAGAAAGGATGAGGTAAAGTAGGGTTTTCCCTCTTGTTGCCTCCCTCACCACCTGCTACCAATGCAGTCTAACAGAAATGTACTTTTGTGAATACTTGTGAATATATACTTTCAATTCCCTCTGCTCTCACAATCCCTCCTTTGTCTGTACTGCCTTTCCATGTTGTTTCTCTAAAGTACATAAATTGACAATTACCCAGATTAAATCTCTCCTACAATCTGTCTACCATCATTTGGCTTAACATAATCTGTGAATAATTCTTCTTTTCTGAATTTTGCAATTGCTTAGCCAAAGTACTTTGATTAGCACTTTGTAGACTTTATGTTTTTTTCTAGAAACTTGGAGGTTTTTTTGTGTGTGCATTATTTCTTGAGAAGGGGGGATCTCGTAGTAGCACATAAAATCCTGATGGAACTGGATAGGCTAGTTGTGGGAAGAATGTTCCTGATGCTGGGGAAGTCCAGAACTAGGGGTCACAGTCTAAGTCGAAGACGAAGAATAGGAAGTAAACCATTCAGGACTGAGATGAGGAAAGGTTTCTTCACTCAGAGAGATGTGATCCTGTGGAATTCTCTTCCACAGGAAGCTGTTGGGGCCAGTTCATTAGATATATTCAAGGGGGAGTTTGATATTGCCCTTGCGGCTAAAGGGATCAAGGAGTATGGGGAGAGAGCGGGAATGGGATGCTGAGATTGCATGATCAGCCATGATCATATTGAATGGTCGTGCAGACTCTAAGGGCCGAATGGCCTACCCCTGCACAAAAACAGAAGTTGCTGGAAAAGCTCAGCTGGTCTGACAGCATCTGTGAAGAAAAAAGTCAGAGTTAATGTTTCGGGTTCTGAGGAAGGGTCACCAGGGCCGAAACGTTAACTCTGATTTTTTCTTCACAGATGCTTCCAGACCTGCTGAGCTTTTCCAGCAACTTCTGTTTTTGTTCCTGATTTACAGCATCCGCAGTTCTTTTGGCCTACTCCTGCAGCTATTGTCTATCTTTCTATGTTGCATATATATGCATAGTTTAAACATTTTATTAATAATATTACATCTTTGCTTTAGTAAGTTTTGTTTCCATAATAAAGCTAATTCTTTATTTGTTTCTAAAGGATTTGTTCACTGAGCTTTATGCAGTCTAATGTATGCAGACATATGAAATGGGAATAGAATTATGCCACTCAGCTCTTTTGAGCCTGCCCTGTCATTCAATATGAGCAAGGCCAATCCAGATTCCGATCCATCCCAATAACCTTTGATTCCCTTGTTGAAAAAGTTATATAATTGGCAATAACATCTCCCATTTAAAATGCAAATTATACTTTGACCAGTGGAGGAGAGGAACAAGAAAAGGAGTCAGTACATCCCTGACTTGATTGTAACATTGATTTACGCAGTGAGTTTGTGTCGCTTCCATTTCCCAGCTTATTGTTTGTGGTAGCTACTGTTATTTACTCACCGTAAATAATTCTAAATGAGCACATAGGGAATACCAATAACTGGAGTCAGCCTTCACTCATTCTTTATTGATTAAAGACCAGGTAACCACAAGCATGTGGCATTTCAGAGTGAACTGGCTGGGAGCCGTAATGGATCCTATGGACTGACCAGTTCTCTCAGTATGGCACTTAAAAGAGGGGATAGGATTATCAACAAGAAATAGAATCTCTGTCAATAAACTGTGAAGAAATGGGAGAGCCCAAAGCATTTTGTTTAAAAGTGTTGTGGGATTTGTAAAGCTGTCCTCTGGAAAATGTGGTTTATGGGAGGGCAGAGCTTGTGACTGACATGCTACGCGTGGCTGATTCAAAACCTATCATTTTCTCCATTTATAGAGCCTATCACATTAGATTGTATGCAAAGATACAGCTGAAGAGATGTTGCTTGTGGGTTTTTGGAGTTTGAGAAAGTAAATCAAAAAGAGACAATACATCATACATAACTGTTCCTATCATGTGTTTGTACTTTAAGGATAATTACATAGCAATTATTCTGTATTCACACCAAAAAGTGCATTTACTGATTATGTGGTTCTGGACCCACAGAAATGTAACTAAGTCTTAAATGACTTCTGAAATGACCACTAGGCTGTAGGAAACTGCTACTGAAAAGCTAAATGAGAATAAAATCAGATGGACCACCCTGTGCTGATCTGGGTATCAGAGATGACAATGGCACAACCAACATCTTTCCAAAGTCCTCCTCACAAAGACATCTCAGTTGTGGCAAAATCAGATAGATATCCATCAGACTAGTCCATCAATAGGCTGAAAATCTTACTCACAGGATCATACCTTACAATCAAGTCCCAGACACCATCATCACCATCCCTGGGTAAGTTCTGTCTCAACAATAAGACAAGCTCACCAGAACTACTGTAAATGGTCAGGAGGGAATGACTCTGAGACTTCATTGTGTTGACTCCATACTCCATAAATCTCTGTAGCTGTATAAGACTTTAGTTAGGCTACATTTGGAGTATTATGTGCAGTTCTGGTTGCCACACTACAGGAAGGATGAGGAGGCTTTGGAGGGGGTGCAAAAGAAATTTACCAGATGTTGCCTGGATTGTAGCTTCAAGGAGAGAACGGACAAACTTGGATTTTGTTAGAGCATCTAAGGCTGAGGGGGTGACCTGATAAAGATATATAAAGTTATGAGAGGCAAGGGTAGGGTGAATAGTCAGAGTCTTTCTCCCAAGGTGGACATGTCAAATGCTAGGGAAACATAGTGTTAAGTTGATGGGGAAGGTTTAAAGGAGACGTGTGAAGGAAGTTTTTTTTACACAGACGGTGGTAGGTGCCTGGAACCTGTTGCCAGGTGAGGTGGTAGAAGCAAATACGTTACCAATGTTTAAGAGACATTTAGACAGAAACATGAACAGGCAGGGAATAGAGGAATATAGAGCAAAAGAACTATGGATGCTGTAAATCTGAAACAAAAACAGAAGTTGCTAGAAAAGCTCAGCAGGTCTGGCAGCATCTGTGAAGAGAAATCAGAGTTAACGTTTTGGGTCTGGTGACCCTTCCACAGTTCAGACCTGAGACAGATTTGGACTTGTGAGAAGTGCTTAGAGAACCAATAAGAGAAAAACATGTGTGAACTTGTCCTGACTAATCTAACTGCTAGTCCTGCCCATGACCCCACATTGCTAGCAGTGACAAACACACAGTCCTTGTGAAGACTAAGATTTGTTTCTACACTGAGGACATCCTGCATTATTGTACTATCAGTGCTGTATAGGGCAGACTCAAAACAGGTCCAGCAACTGAAAACTTGGCATCCATTAGTCACTCAGCTACCAGCAGCAAAAGTTCATTCAGCTGCAATAGACATAGAACATAGAACAGTACAGCACAGTACAGGCCCTTTGGCCTACAATATTGTGCCAAACTTTTACCCTAAACCTAAGGTCTATCTAACCTCGACCCCCAACTTACACTATCATCCATATGCCTATCTAATAGCCGCTTAAATGCCCCTAATGAGGCCGACTCCACTACCCTCTCCGGCAATGCATTCCATGCCCCTACCACTCTCTGAGTAAAGAACCTACCTCTGACGTCTCCCCTATATCTACTTCCTCTCACTTTAAGACTATGCCCCCTCGTAATAACTACCTCCACCCTAGGAAAAAGTCTCTGGCTGTCCACTCTATACCTCTGAACATTTTGTACACCTCTATCAAGTCACCTCTCATCCTTCTTCATTCTAAAGAGAAAAGCCCAAGCTCTCTCAACCTTTCCTTGTAAGACCTTCCCTCCATTCCAGGCAACATCCTAGTAAATCTCCTCTGCACCTTTTCCAACGCTTCCACATCTTTCCTGTAATGATGCGACCAGAACTGGACACAATACTCCAGATGTGGCCGAACCAGGGTTTTACATAGCTGGACCATAACTTCACAGCTCTTGAACTTAATCCCTCTATTAATGAAAGCTAACACACCATACGCCTTCTTAACAACTCTATCCACCTGGGTGGCAGCTTTCAGAGAACATTGGACATGAACCCCAAGATCCCTCTGCTCCTCCACACTGCCAAGAATCTTTCCGTTAACCCTGTATTCTGCTTTCAAGTTTGTCCGTCCAAAATGAATCACCTCACACTTTTATAACCTCAAAGTTTCCAATCTACTATTACTGTCAAGCTGGGATATCAGCCCTGGTTCAAAAGATAGTGCAAGAGGGCATGTCAGGAACAGCACCAGGCATAAGTAAAAATGAGATAGCAAGGACTGCTAATGCTGTAGTCAGAGATAACACAGTATAGAGCTGGGGGAACACAGCAAGCCAGGCAGCATAGAGGAGCAGGAAAGTTGACGTTTCAGGTCGGGACCCTTCTTCAGAAATGGGGAGGGGGAAGGGAGCTCAGAAATAAATATCCTCTCTCTCCATTTATTTCTGAGCTCCCTTCCCCCTCCCACTTCTTCCAAGCTCCTCACAGCTTTCAGGACTTTTCCTGAGTCCGAACTCCAACACTTAAACTGCATTTACTGACTCCGAGATATTCCTCCTGAGTTCTGATGGCACACAAAAATATCCAATTCTTGAATTCTATGATGAAAGGATATTAGAATTG